AAAAAAAAAAACAACTACAACAACAAAAAAAAAAAAACCAAGAAAAGGGCACTTGAGGCATCCTGGAGGAAAGGGGCGGGTGCTCAAGCACCCTCTGCCCCCCCCCCTGCACGTGCCTGATTGCATTTCATGTTGACCTTTGTAATATGCGTACGCGTTTATTTTACAGTAAAATACCATTATAACGGACTTCAAGGGACCTAGCAAAACAATTTGTTATATCCAGAGTTGTTGATTGCCCAGAACACAACTATACAGGACACCATTTACTCATGCCACACCCCAGCAGACACACTTGTAGTATATATTATTATATTGTACATGTAGTAATCCAATTTTACCTGACCAGACACGTGACTATTAATAATCTCGACTACGTATCTGCGCTGGACACTGTTGCCAACTCCTCAGCAAGGAATGTCGCTATTGATTGTCCCAAAAGTCGCTAAATGACGCCATAGCCTAGTTTGCATAATGTGCATGTAATTATAATGGACGCTGTAGGAGAGAGGAATAATGTCGTGGGAGAGACAAAAGGTGGTTAAAAAACACCCTAAATACGTTTAGAACTACAAATGAACTTTCTCCTGTCGATTCTTGTTTTTTTATATCATAATTCCAACCCTCTTCCTATATCCGGGCTTGGGACCGGCAAAAGTGACCCCAAAGAGACACTCTGGCGGAATTACTTATTCTTAAAAACTGTCATACTTGCCGGAATTTTTGGCAATAAGCCAGGGCAGGATCAGCCAGTGGTGGCTTCGCGCATGCACAATTCATTTGCAGTCTGGACGCGGAAAGGTGAACATTTCCTGCTCTGACTGCAGCTGGGCAGGGCTGCTGCGTGAGGACTGTCCGCCTGTGAATGCTTTGGGACGGGAGGGGAGCCCATGGTAGCACTTGCTGCTCGGTGAGGAGAGTAAGAACGATACATGCTTCCACGTCAGAGTCTCCAAAAGTCTCCAATAACACTAGAAAAAGTCGCTAGATTTGTCGCTAGTCACTTTTTTGAAAACGAGTCGCCAGAGAGGTCTAAAAACTCGCTAAATATAGCGACAAAGTCGCTAAGTTGGCAACACTGGCGCTGGATATCACCGGCACGTCACGCGCCTTGTAGGCAGAGCCTGCATGTCTGTTATAGCTGAACAAAACTACAGCTAAAAGCGGCCCTGGGGACCAAATTGTTTATCCGTTATAAGCGAAATTCCGTTATATGCGAGTCCGCTATATCTGATGCTTTTTCTGCATGTTCGTAAAGGCGCACGGCAGGGACCAGCGGACCTCGTCCATTATAGACGATATTCCATTATAAGTAGGGTTGCGAACTGTCCCAAATTGTCTGGGACATCCAGACATATGGGTGATTTTAATTTAAGCTCCAGAAAGTGTCCCTCATTTGGGGTTGAGAGAGTTGGCAACCCTAGTTATAAGCGAGTCCACTATAACGGGTGCTGTAATTATTTTGGAATTAATTGGAATGCTAAGACATGATTTTATAGGCTTTATTATATTGATTATGAAGCAATCTCAGCTGTGTTCTCCATATTATGGAAGTATCACGCAGAGGATTACTTCAGAAAAGATGGTTTTTATTCTCTGCTTTCTCGTCTTGCTTTTACTCACAGCATTGACTAAATTTTTTTATATACTTTTATACAAGACTCATTCTACGGAAGCCCTGAAGTGCAAAACAAATTTACAAATCAGAAAACAAATTAACAAATCAGAAAACAAATTAACAAACTGAAAACAAATTTACAAATCAGAAAACAAATTAACAAATCAGGAAACAAATTTACAAATAAATAAAGTAATAAAACACTTTAACATTAACTCAAAACAGAAAAGGTAGGTACTTATTACCTCTCATGGTTTTCTTGCTGATTGGTTGCAGTGTGTGTCTGTAAAGTGTCTTGTAGGGCGAACACTTCAAACGGAAAAGAAATTGCTTTGGAAGGAGAAATGAATTTAAATGTAGTATCGCTGTGTTCTGATGCGCTTATTCGTACTTATTTTCATGAAGGACATTCATATGAAGTCATGTTAGATATGCTGTCAACCGTGCATGGCATTAGTATGAGTATGCGAACATTAAAAAGTATGTTAATGGAAGCCTGCTTGTTCAGAAGAAAGAATTACTCCTCGATAGTTGACGTTCGACATGCCATACTGCGTGGACCAGGGCAGCTATTTGGGTATCGAACAATGTGGCAAGTACTTTGACAAAAACACAAATTGCGTATTAAACGTGTGGATGTAATGATTTTATTACGAGAACTCAATCCACGAGGGACTGAAATGAGAACACGTCTTGGTTTATCTACTTAACATTCCATGG